GCGGCCCTTGCCGCCCCGCCGCACCCCGCCTCGGGGGTGGCGGGTGAGGCGAGTTTACCTCAGGCTGTCACCGCGGCCCGGCCCGGGGAGAAGGGGGGGGTCACCCCGCGCCCTTCGAGCCCTCAGCGGGGACCCAGCGTCCTTGCGGGAGCCAAACCGGCGAGGAACCGAGGTCGGCGGGGAGGCGGCCCCGCCGTTCCTGCCCCCGGCTGGCCGAGCGGCGAGGGCTCGGGCAGGGGCGGCCCGGCGGGGCGGTGAGGTGCGGGGCGGTGAGGGCCGCGCAGGGGAAGGGCGGTGCTGGATGTTCCCTGAAGTTTCTCAAAGTAGAGGTTTTTCTCCGAGTATCGGTAATCTGCGGAGATGACGGATTATCTCCTCAGCCGTCACCTCTTCAGCCACGGCGCAGAGGCAGCGAGGTTCAGGATGGCGCTTTGGTCATGGAGAAGCGTCTGATTTGTTTGTGCTGGTTTTGTTAGCCGTGGCATATCAAGAGGTTATCTAAAAACTCATTTAAAATAAACCCCCTAAAAACAATGGGAGGAACACACGCTGCTCTGTCCCGGGAAGAGCTCAGCTACTGGTTTATGAGCACTGTGAGGGTAGCTTGGAATTTAACATCGTTTTATATGGTGCTGTTAGGCATCAATCTTCAGTAAAGTACATGTGGAAAATATAATGAATATGACATTGTCTTCTTCTCTGTGAGTTGGGAGTTTAGGTTAAGGGGGTTTTTGCTGATTCAGTGGTTAGAGTGATCGTTCAGATGTTGTAATGATCATGGCCTGCATGCAAACAAAGTAGGTAAGGTGTTAAAGCCCAGCTAAAGGTAACCCTGGTACCTGTATATGCTCTCCTGTACATCCTTGACAGTGCTGTGAGAGAGACTGATCCCACTTCCGTCTCTTCTTACCTGATTTTTCACAGGGGGATACTTAATTACAAGCCCAAGGGCTATTTTATTAATGATCAGTTTTTTCATCATCGATACATCTAGCCAAGAAATGCAGCTCCTCTTAGGTGAACCTCTCGTCTCTTCCCAGTAGTAAGCATTCAGTGTCTAGCAGGATGTGGGCCGGAAGAGTGCGTGAAATACAATACAGAAGTAATTTATTCAAGGGTGACAAATATAGTGCTAGTCGGGGAAACGTGTGCTTTGTTAATACTTTACGAGAAGAGAACGTGTCTTAATTAGGTACCAGCGAAGTGCCTTCTAATGTTGAAAGGGGCTAAGACATCTTGTCAGTCAGACATTTTCTCTTTGGCTGTTAGAAAGGCACAGCATCTTTGTGAACCCCTGGTAGGTGTATTGTTTGTAAACAACTTGAAAAAAACATTAGTGTGAATTAAAGTTCTTTAGGTACTGTCTCTAGGGACTGATTATCTTGTATTTTCATCAGATTTTAATTTTAAAAAAGGACGCATTTTTCTTAAATCTGAAATTCAGTCAGTATGTTTTTGACATAAAGAGAGAAAAGGTGTTAGACCCTTATAGCAACCTGTAGGCCGTCTGGAAAACCGGCATCTTTAGCAGACACTCTGTCTTTGGTATGCTAAACTGTGTGCACAACTGAATAAACCACTTCAAATTCAGCAAGCGGCGAAATAATGAATGCAAAACATAACTTTTTTTCAGGCCACTGAGACTTTGTGCTGTGGTTTACATAGTCCGTAATGTAAACACATTTGCAGTCAAAATACTTTGTTGTGTAGCTCTACTATACAAGTGACTGGAGATGAACTTTATTGGAACGTTGAAATGTGTGCCATTTGCATGTAAATGTAATTAAATAGAGAGTTTTCTGATTTTCTCCATTGTGATTCTAAACCTTTGTCAATTTACTCCTCCACCAGCCAGCTCCAGCTCCTCACCATGTTGCTGCGCTGGCAGACGGGCGCTGCATACCAGTTTCCTGTTGAAGACACTATAATGTCATGAAACAGCTTTTGATTTTTATCAAGTGTTGAGGATGAGCTGTGAAGCACAAATTAAACCCACAGGTAGCCAAAATAGCAGGTGAAATGATTAAAGCTCTGTGCTGTAGGTGAAGGTGTCTCCTCGAACTACGCTTGAGCTCTGTTCTGTGAGTGCTGCAGAGACTCTTCGCTTTCTCTAGCTCCCACCATTGTCTTTACTGGTTTTGAATATTTTTCCCTTAAGGTTTACCACGTAGAAAGCGGTGGTCTTCCTCCTTCCTCTTGTCTCTGGTAGCTGGTGTAATCGTTAATGGGACATTTTCGTCTTTGTTTCTGTGTTTGTGCATAATATTATTGGTGTCAACGTGGAGGTGTACAGTTTGGGAATTATTTAAATAGCTTGCTGCATGGGATCCTATTAGTTCTATTTTGTAGTTAACTCTTGTGTCATAGGGTTGAAAATAAGTGTTAACATAGATCTCCTATGCTTAATTAGGTAGTTGCATGTGAAAAACTGACTGAGAAAAGATATTGACTTGGCATGCTTGTATGCTCGCTAACTTCATATGAACTTGCCTCTAAAACCTGTAAAAACAGTTGCTGCTTTAATACTGACATTGGTAAAACTAGTTTGGACTAAGAATATGTCCAAAAAGATGTGTGAGCTCTGCTCCTTCCAGTAGCCTGAAATGTAAATGAAATTTACGCTGTTGTTTGTGTGCAAGACTGTGAAATTCAGTAAATATACATGATAACTTTATCTCACCTGCTATTATTGGTGGCAAACTGTGAGGGAGGGAGCAAAGTGGGGTGGAAGCTAGGTAAATTTGAAGTGTTATCTGGCAGTGCAAGAGCATTACATTACAAGATGCAAAGTTTCAGATCAAGTATTAAGAAGAAATAACAGATCACTTGACCCATTTGCAGAGAGTTAATTTATGTGTATTTAGCAATCTTTAATTGTATGATCTCATGGTATGTTTCTGCAAGGTCTTTTTTAGGAAAAGGAATGGATGGTGCTTAGGTTGGGGAAAATCACACACCTAAAGAAGATCTGAGATGCTATGTATTTGAGGTGTGAAGTATTACCAGAAGTGGTGAACTTCCTTAATTTTTTTTGGAGAAAAAGGTCTGTCAGGGAGATGCTGTATTTAATGGACTAAGCACAATGGGACAGCACAACTTCTCTAGTTAAGTAGGAGTACCTTCAGAACTGGGTGGTGGTAGTGGGGTGGCTGCTTTTCAAGAGATTGAATTGTTGCATGTGACAAAAGCTGAACTGCTTCAGCCGGGTGTAAGTATGTCTTGGTCAGGAAGTATCTTTTGAAGTTGGTAGAACATGGATTTCTAACTTCTTTTTTCTACTTTTCAGTGTTTGGGATAACAAAGTCATCCTATTTCAGTGAAAGGTGTTTAACCTTTAACTGATACCGAAGCATTTTGGTTTTCTTTGTTATTGTTTTGAACTGACAGGCCCCATACAAATAGAGTGCTTTTAACAACAAAAAGAGTTTTAGTCCCTGATTGCGACAGGTACATACATGCTTGCTCTTGGATGTTAGATTCAGTAATTTAACTTGTGTAAATTGGCCTACTGTAGTCAGGCATCTTCTGTAGTGTTAGAAAATTGGAAATATAATAAGGCTTATGCTGTTACTTATTTTTTTAACTCAGTTGCAGATAGTGTATTTGAAGAGCCTTAATTTAAAAATGTTCCTACTCCAAAACCCTTGATGATATAGCAGTTTTAATGCTTTGTAACGTAGATTTTACAATAACAACTGCTCAGATTCCGCCCCCC